TGAAAACTCAAAGTTTGAGGCATCAACACCAACGGAAACATCACAGAACTTTCACAAGGTGATTCTCAACTCATCCAGTCTCCCAAATCAGTGAAAACTCAAAGTTTGAAGCATCAACACCAAGGGAAACATCACGGAACTTTCACAAGGTGAATCGCAACTCATCCAGGCTCCAAAATCAGTGAAAACTCAAAGTTTGAAGCATCAACACCAAGGGAAACATCACGGAACTTTCACAAGGTGAATCGCAACTCATCCAGGCTCCCAACTCAGCGAAAACTCAAGGTTTGAAGCAATCTATGGAGGGGAAACATCACGGAACTATCCCAAGGTGAATCGCAACTTACCCAAGCACCGAAATCAGTGAAAACTCAAAATTTTGAAGCAATCTATGAAGGGGAAACATCACGAAACTATCCCAAGGTGAATTGCAAGTTAACAAAGCACCCAAATCAGTGAAAACTCACAGTTCGAAGCAATCTATGAAGGGGAAACATCACCGAACTATCCCAAGGTGAATCGCAAGTTACCCAAGCCCCCAAATCGGTGAAAACTCAAGGTTTGAAGCAATCTATGAAGGGGAAATATCACGGAACGATCCCAAGGTGAATCGCAACTTACCTTAGCACCCAAATCAGTGAAAACTCAAAGTTTGAAGCAATCTATAAATGGGAAACATCACGGATTTATCCCAAGGTGAATCGCAACTTACCCAAACACCCAAATCAGTGAAAACTCAAAGTTTGAAGCAATCTATGAAGGGGAAACATCACGGAACTATCCCAAGGTGAATCGCAACTTACCCAAACACCCAAATCAGTGAAAACTCAAGGTTTGAAGCAATCTATGAAGGGGAAACATCACGGAACTATCCCAAGGTGAATCGCAACTTACCCAAGCACCCAAATCAGTGAAAACTCAAAGTTTGAAGCAATCTATAAAGGGGAAACATCACGGAACTATCCCAAGGTGAATCGCAACTTACCCAAGCACCTTAATCAGTGAAAACTAAGTTTGAAGCAATCTATGAAGGGGAAACATCATGGAATTATCCCAAAGTGAATCGCAAGTTACCCAAGCCCCCAAATCAGTGAAAACTCAAGGTTTGAAGCAATCTATGAAGGGGAAACATCACGGAACTTTGACAAGGTGAATCGCAACACACCCAAGCCCCCAAATTAGTGAAAATCGCAGTTTTGACAAGAGGGGGAGGGGGAGGAGGAGGAGAGGGAGAAAGAGAAGAAATGGAGAAGAAGAGGAGGAAGAAGAAGAAGAAGAAGAAGGGGAAGAAGAGAAAGAAAGAAGAAGGAGAGAAGAAGGAGAAGAGGAGGAAGAAGAAGAAGAAGGAGGAGGAGAAGAAGAAGGAGAAGAAGAATTTGAAGAAGAAAAAGACGAAGAGAAAAAAGAAGGAGGCCTCCTTCCTCCTTCACCCACCTCTTGCTGATCTCTAGGCAGTGGAGTCCCAATGCTTGGTCCTAGCCTCCTGAGTATGGTTTTTTCTCTCTCCCAAGCTCTCTCCTCCTTCCCTCACACCTTTCCTTTGGCTATGGCAGGTTCCTACTTCTAAGGTTGTGGAGTCCTTCCCTCTAGAAGGGCTATGGAGACCCCTTTCAACCTCTCCTCCTACTCCACAGCCTGAGGGCTATGGCGGACCACTCTCCTTGCTTCCTCCTAGCCTCTAGGTCACCCTTCTCAGCCTTACCACCATAGCCACGCTACAGGCTAGCTCTGGCTCTCACTTCCTTGCTCTATCTCACTAGTACTCACTCACGGACTCATTTGGGCAGCATGGGCACCTCTCATGCTCAAATGAGAGTTGCGGCCTACACCTCCAGCTTATATAGGCTGGAACAGGTGCACCGCCCAACCTCTAGGCCCCTCCAAGTGCCTCTAGGTGGAGCGAGGTACCCCAAGGGCCAAATTTCCAGTTTTGGCCTACCTGGAGGTACCTGGAACTCATTTTGGCTAGGTACATGCAGTCCGAGAGGCTGGTACCCTCTCGGACTACCCCTTGGCCTACCCCGGCCTCTTTTCTTTTCAAAAAGTGCTGCCTTTTCGGTACCACTACCCCAAAATGCAGCCTTTACGAAAATTTGAGGGCTTAGAGGCCCATTTTTCGTTTTTTCCTAGTCTAGGTCTCTTGTGAGTAGGCCGTTGCATTTTCCCAACTGGCGGCACAGATCTCAGTCTTGGATTTGGCTGAGATCTATGGTTCTCATCAATCCGAGTTACTCCAAGCTCCCCTTGCCCCAAATTTGAGTCCTTTGCCCAAATTTTTAATTTTTTTGATGTACCTGGTCCAAACCTTGGGCCAAATTCACAGTTTTGTCTTGTTCCCCTCTTTGTTTTCCCTCCAATTTGCTGCCAACTCATTCCGTAGCTAGCCGTTTTGTGTCAGCCCACAAAAAACGGCTAGATCTCCTCCTCCGCAAGATCAGATCTCAGATCTAAGGCCCAAAAATGAGCCGGCTGACTCACATCAGCATTTTTTTTTTTTTTTTGCCTAAATTCAGATATTGCAGAGATAATGCCCCAAGGACCTTATCTCTGCAATCCGGACTGCACTCCTGGGATCTAGGAGGGATGAGATCATCATTGGGACCTGCCCATCCCTACTGCTGCAGTCCCACCCTGGCGGCACATTTTCCTCCACTCCTTCTTCCTCCTTTGTCTCATTCTCCCCCTTTTTCTCCCATTTTCTCTCCCTCTTTCTTTTATTGTTGTAGGGACAAGTGTCCAACATCTATTTCTCCTGTTTCTGGCTGTTGGACTTCACCCAAGGTTTGTTTTTGTAGCCGGTACCTGGCCGTTGCACCTCGGACTGCAGTAGCGCCATCCCCAAGGCCAAAGGGGGCTCCTTTTTGCTGCGGCCGCTTCCCGTTTGGGACCCCCTTGCTCCGATTTTCTCCAGCCAGCCCTTTTTCCACGTGGAGCCCTCGGAACTTCGTTTTTCTTGGCCTGGCTGATCTGAGATACTCAGACTACTGGCTGGCCCTCTCATTACTACTATCCCCTCCTCTTTTTCCCCTCGGCACCTCCTGCCGGCGCTTGTCGCGGTGGTACTCATCATTTTCATCCGGACCCCTGGCCCGGATGGTCCCGTCCTCCTGACGTTATGTTATTTTATTTTTTATCGTCGTCGTTGCATTGGATCCAGGATCCCCCTGGGTCGCCCCAGGTGCCCTCCGTCTTTCCCGTCACATGTTCGTCGCCCGTTCTGTCGACAATCCCTGTCGGCGGCACCTTACGCTTTATCCCATTTATACCCGCCCTACTAGTGGTTCCGCTGGCGCCGCCATCCTGTCTAGGCCCACGTGGTTCCTGGCGCTTTGGTCCGCCCGCGCTTCGTCTATCCCTTGGCCTTACACGGTTCCTGATACTTTGTCCTGCCGATACCACGCCGTCCCTTGGCCTCGTGTGGTCCCCGGCACCTAGTCCCGCCGGCACCACACTTCTTCTTAGTCCCCTGTGGTCCCGACACCTCGTCCTGCCTGCACCATGTTTTCCCTCGGTGCTCCCGACGTCCTTCCGCCTTACGGCGATTTCCGCTCCCCATTCCCCTTGTGCCCCGCACGTTGTTCCGCTCCGGGTGCCGGTTCCCACTTATCCCGAGGTCTCCTTGGCCCTCCTCTCGTGATGTCACGTCAGCGCCTTGCGCCCTGTCCCTTCCTGCTTCCTTCCTTCCTTTGCTGCGCACCCCCTGTGCTACTACCGACTTCCCGGCGGCCCTTCTCCGTCCTTGGGAAAAGAGTCGCTCCTGCTATTCTCTCCCAGTCCCTTGCCGCTCCCTGCTTAGACAATTCCTTTCTAGTTTGGCGGTCCTGACGATTCTGGGCGGCCTCCAGCTTCCTACCGTTTGTGCCCACGCTCCCGATCTTTTCAACATTCCTACCTCCGGTTTTCTCTGTCGTGCACAAACTGGTCATATACAGTCTCTCGAGTGACGAAAAATCGTTCGGGACTCACCAGTCCCGACACCGGTTTATAATGGTTCCTAATCTGGCGCCAGTTTGTGTGTGTGTGTGTGTGTATGTGTGTGTGTGTGTGTGTGTGTGTGTGTGTGTGTGTGTGAGAGAGAGAGAGAGAGAGAGAGAGAGAGAGAGACGGATGGTGTCTGGTACAACTATGTGTGTGTGTGTACGTGATTCCTAGTTCAAGTCTGGGAGTCGGTTTATACTGGTTCCTAATCTGG